GGGAAAGAGCTAACCGCGTGTACCTCCTTTCCACAGAAGACCAATCCCTGCTATTGCCAGCAGCATGAGCGCCTTGACTCCTAGCGCAATACAAATCAGGATCAGAATCGAGTTGCTATTTGCTCCTTTGAATTTATAGAAGTACACTGCCCCCTCCGCCCTCCCGTGGCTGTTCTCCGCTGTGCATACGTATTTTCCATCGTGAGTCAGGTGGTGCAGCTCTTTGGTTATCTGGTGGTTCATGCTTGTGACGGAGGAGGAATTGCTGGACAGAGGGCCGGTCCAGGTCAGAGAGGGCAGTGGTTCCCCATCAGCTGTGCAGCGGGCTTTGAAGGTATGATCCTCGTTGGAGCTTACTGTGATGTTAATGATCCTGGGGGCAGCTGTGGAGGTCACAAGAAGGGATGAAGAACACAGTTCAGATTCAAATCTGTTGTTGGTTCGGGCTCGGCATTGAGAACGACTGTTGATCTTAATGGATTCACACAGGCTTACGACTTCGTAACCTTGACATCCATCCTCTTGTCACCCCCCACGTTCTCCTTCCCTCCCCTCTCCTATTTGCTAGATTTTCCCATCATGCCCACAATTTGGAGAGAAGCATCATGTCCTATTGAACAGAGCCCTGGACTGGGAATGCGGCGACCTGGGTTCTCCTTCCATCTCCTTGTTACTGGTCTTGTTATAGAATAGAGGGAATTGTAATGGTCAAATTCCCTTCCACCCGCAGTGCAGTTCAGTTTGAACATTTCACCCAGCTTGTGCCGTGAAGACTGCCTGGTTCTCCTCATGCTGCTGCCATGAATGAGCTACAAGTTGGCTCTCTGTGGAGGCATTGCGTGAATAAATTAGCAATTGCAAAGAGCTTTCCACAGAGGCAAAGCATTAGAGAGGTGACAATTACTATGCGTTTCTAACACTCTCACTATATTAAGAACGGTTCGTGATACCGAATGTTCATTCTTGCTTTGCAGAGTGCGTGCCCCATGGCAGGATCACATGTCTGTTGTTTGAAGTCTAGGTAGCCTCTGGGGAAAAGTGGTGTAGCCATTTCACACCAATGATGCTACACCCAGTGTAGAGCGGGACGGGAAGGAACTAGAAGAAAGGGTGTTATTTTCCTCCCAAATTATCAGCTGAAAGAAAACACAGCCCTGATGCACCACTGACCTCTCCGCATTGGATTCCTGTGCCGGGAAAGCTTTCTAACCCTCCATGAAGGCAATGTGGGCCGGGGTGAGGCCTCGCCTTGGGACTCTGCACACCGATACTGTGCGACCATTGGCAACTCGCTCCATCCCACCCATTATCTATCATGTCTGGTTAGATTGTGGGCTCCTGAAAGCCCTTTCTATTATGTGTCTGCATAGTACCATATTTACCCACATACCACATGCACCCTTGCCCCAAGAATCAGCCCTCCAAAACTGGGGCACATGTCTTAAGAGGGGAGGTTGACATCTCTTTGCTGGAATAGAAGCAGGGAGACACTGCTGTTCTCCTTTGGCTAGCCTCTGGGATGGAGGAGGTGGAGTTTACCTAGGGGCAGACCTGCAGTGTTAACCCTCTCACCACCACAGCCACAGCAGTCAGGATCCCCTGCAGTCAGCATTTGGACATGACTGGAAAAACAATATTTTTGTCTTCATTCTGGTGTCCCAAAGTAAGGAGCACATGTTATTTGGGGTGAGGTGGGGGGGAGAGGGGTGGTATGTGGGAAAATACGGTACTTAGCACAATGGACCTCACATCTTATTTGAGGCTTGAAGGGCTCCTGTCCAATACCAAGTTCAGGATCATTATTTGGATCTTGCTGTGGTATCAGGATGCAGCTGGGAAAAGACTAAGCACCTTATGGACACAGCACAATGATGGCTCCTTCCCCCACTGTCAATACTCTCCATAGCTTCAGGACCCAGATGAATTGTGGACTTCATGTTCGATGCATGAACACTACTTTCACCGAGGGGTAAGCTCACTCACATTCACCATAAGGTAAGAGCATACGTGTGGGCAGTTACCATGGGGTAGATGACATGCTCCGTAATCACAGCCCAGCTTACCTTCTAGTAATCTAGGATATCCTCATGCCCTTGATCACTTTTTAAGGTGTAAAATTATGTTCACATCTGCAAATATTACTACCATTTGGCTCTTCCCCCTGTCCAGTGTCTTGGTAGGTGGTCCTCTTACCCATCAACCTCTTGCTCTGACTGTTGTAAGGTCTGGCAAAGACAACCCTCCCACCCTGCAATGGATGTTGAGCCCCATCTTCTCTGTGCACTGACTATATCAGTCGCACAGGGCCCCTCTGTTATCTACTGTGAGTGCTGTGAGCCACCATGTCCCTCAATGTGCACCTCTTTTGTGGGGTAGAGGATAGGATGCAGTGGAGGGGGTGATGGAGCAAATCTTACACTACAGGGGAATAGCAGTGAAGGTCAGGACTGGCGCTATCCAGTAGTTCCAGTCTCATTCATTCTTGTGGTACATAGAGATGATGGCAGAGAGGGTCAAGTATCCTTGTATGACTCCAGAAGGGGTTTGAAGCCTCACTGCAGGCTGACCAGGCTGAAGAGTCTCCAGGCTTGGAGAGTCCAAGGTGGCCGGATGGGGTAGTTGCTTTACTCCCTTACATACCACCTGCCATGAGCTGTGGAAAATGATGTGCCTTAATCACATGAGCCTGGTGAGCTATTCAACTTGGGTAAACTTTCCTGATTGTTTTCTTCTTACTTCTTATGGCTGTAAACCCACCCTTTACCTTGCCACCATCCCTATGGACTCTGTTCTGTTATGTGGCATTCTGTTCTAGCTCCTATTCCATGCTCATCCCCATAGTACCTAAGCTATGGAAAGTGTCTGGTTTTCCATAGCACCTCAGGAAAGTGTCTGGTTCTGGTATTATACAGTCTCTCAAAACTAGGCAGTGTTGGGGAGTACAATACCCTTGGCAGAGTGTGGTCTAGCAAATTTTGTAGCAACCAGTCTGGAGTAGCATCTCCACTATCCAAATCTTCCCGTCTCTTTAGCTTCCTTACGTGGTTATTCAGCCTACTTTTGTATTTAGTGTTCTCTTACCGATCAGATGGAGCCTGATCCCAGTTCTGCCTTCATACTTATCATGAAGATCTCCAGAAAACTCTACCCGGCAGAAATATCTGTTGCTGTCGCTCCACGTCAGATTGTCAATCTTGATGGAAAGGTTGTTGTGCCTTGGGTTCCCAAGCAGTTTGTACCTGTTCTTGTAGCTGGTTGCAGTTTTACAGAGTTCACTTGAACTGTGAGCCACACACTTGAAAACCACTGTCCCGTTGTAAGGCTCTTTGATCCTCCAAATGGCTGTGAGAGTCCGGTCAAAGGTTTTATGGGGGTGTGTGAAGGTACAGGGCAGAACAATGCTCTTTCCAATTTCACCGGTAGCATCTGATGGAACCTTAATGGACCAGCCATTGAACTGCAAACCTAGAAATAAAGGAATTGAATTCAGAGGCTCGAAAGACCATGAAGGCTAGTATAGCCAACCTGAAGAACTGAACCATTGAGAAAGATCAGGAATCCTTGTCTTACCTGCTCCATTCTTGCTCATCAAATGGATACTCCATCCTTTGAGTAAGATCCATGCCTACTTCTTTTCTCACTCTTTTTTTGTTCCTCAAGCTATCTTGCAAACATATAAAGCTTGAAATATTACTTTTTTTTTTTTAAGAAGAGTTATTTTGATCATGATCAAGTGCTTAACCCCAGGGGGTTCAGTATGAGTGCATGCATTGGCATGTCATCCTATTTGTTACCCAATTCCTTGAAATCCTGTTCCTGGAAGGGTCTTATGGCTTTTGATATTATCTCAACACAGAGAGACCTGTAGCTTTGTTAAGTAACCTATGTCCCGTGGGATGTAAAGGCAGATTAAAGCCTTGTGCACATTTTGAGCTGCACTGTCTATAGCTCTGTTGACATGGTAGGGACTCTGGAGATGTGGCTTATGTTGGCAGGAGAGGCGATTCTTGTATTATAATTACCCCACTTCCCTGAACAACACTAAGCTGGCAGAAGTCAGCTCCTATGGCAGGGCTGCATCCATGTTGGGTTCTGCCAGCATAGGGAGTATGATCTTTTCACACCTGTCCCTGACATAGCTAGGTCAGCAAAGCTTCGTGATGTAAACTAGACCTGACGTGCTGCTTGTGCCAATTCAACGAATCCTGCAGGACACGTGTCTTGAAGGGATGATGGGGCCTCTGACACTGAGACTGGCACTATTAGAAACAGACCTCTGTCCCCACAGCATGGGATATTGTCTCACCCCACAGCAACCACCGACTTCCATAAACAGGTCCTTTCCCATGAGCTGGGCTCTGAGTTCTCCAGTGCAGAAGTTGCCAGCAGGTCAATGACTTTGGTATTAAATGTTCTCTTGCTGATACACATGACAGATCCCACCCTGGGAAACTAGTGCAGTCAGTGCACTGCCTTTATATCAGGGCTAAATCTGATCTTTCTGTCTCATCATCATTCAGACCTGACATGAGTAAAAAGGTCCAGCTTGTGGAATATGTGAAAGAACCAAAATCTCCCACAGCTGGCCTCACCAGACCTGCTAGCTTCTGCAAAGTGAACTTCTGAGAAGTGCTGTGCCTTGGTGGCAACTGCAACAGCTGTGGCACCAGGTAATACTTTCAGGACAGGGAGAGACAAAGAATCCTGTCCTGACAACTTCATTACAGCAGAAGCCTTTCCTTGACTAGCAGGCACCAGAACAAGTGGAAAAATTTAGTGGCCTGGTTTTCGAAAATGCTGAGCTCCTGCAATTCTGCTTGACTTCTTTGGGGTGCTCAGAAGCCACAGTGATGAATGTGGGATAAAAGTCTAGACAGAGATAATTAGTGGTTTATCTAAGTTTTGGTACACATGGTGTCCTTCCACGACACTTGGCAGACATCCCTGGGACTATGCAGATGATGTGGGTCTATTGCAGGGGTAGGCAATTCTTTCGGGTGGAGGGCCGGTTACTGAGTTTTGGCAAGCCATTGAGGGTTGCATGACAGGCAGCCAGAGGCAGATAAATATTAATCTTTTAAATTTTTTAGGGTCCCTGCAGGCCAGATGCAATGGCCTGGTGGGCCGCATCCTGCCCAGCCCTGGTCTATTGCATGCTTTCTGATGGGCAAAGGCCAATACAGGACTCGGTTCTCCTAGGCAAAGCTCTTTACCTATAGTTGCCCACATGCCAGCACATTAAAACCTCCAACACAGTTGCAAAGGCATTCTGTATAACAACATGGTGCAATATTAACATTGATGCAATAAGCCAGGTTACGTGACCAAAGAGGGAAGCTGAGAGTCCATAAAGTTTACAGGCTCTGAGCAGGGAGGGCCTATAATACCCATGCTAATGAGCTTGCCTCTCTGCCTTGTGGTAGTGAGTTTGATACTACATAACTATCTCTTTCCCCTGTGGTTTGATGAGGGTTTGTGGGACCTGGAGAAGCCTCACTTGTGTACCGACAGCCTCACTGATCGTGAGCCTCTTTGGGTATCTGGTGTCCGGTGTCTGTAGTGTGCGGGATTGACACAACTGGTCACACCGTATGTGTGTAGCTCATGCTATGGAGCATGAATCATTAGTGGCAGATGCAGACTAATTTGAATGGAGGAACTGATCTGGATGTATGTGATTCGCCATCTATACCACCACTTCTTGTTTAGCACAGGCCAGTTTTAGACTTGGGGTAAGGGATGACTGTGCTTCTAGCAAGTATACCTTTTTTTCCCTATAAAGTGAGAACTAGTGATCAAAAACACTTTATCTCTTTTGTTCTAAGCTCTGTCCCTTCCTATGGAAACTCCTGCAGACCCTAGGTGCTGATAGTAGATAACAGTCAGCGTCTTGTGTATGACTAATTGTCCCCTGTGTAGTCACACACGCCCTCGCAATTAAATCTTGCCAGGACAGCCTGTCATGTCAGTCTTGCCTCGGCTCCTCTTGTTCTTTACCCAGCCGTGCCGTGCCCCTGGACTGCACATTTTCATAGGGAAGAGGGAATGTCATTTGTAACTAGCAGCTAAAAGACTATTTCATAGTACAAGTCACATGGTGGATTAGTTTCCAAAGGCAGGTGGGGGATTTTTAAGTGAGCTGTCTTTATATGGCATTTTGAGATCATCTGATGCTGTGAGTATTTCTATAAAACCATACCCCCCCCCCCCCCCCCCCCCCTCCCCCTTGCTTTATACTTCAGTGTCTGCTGGAAAACATCTTTCCCTTGGTATCAAAAACCAAATCTGGGATAAAGGACTTTATGTGCATTCATTTTGTGTCCTGAAAAGGAGATCTACATACACACTGATAATGATGATATTGGTCCTGACACAGTAACAAAACCTTACTTCAAAAATACATGTGTACGTGCAAAATACCATTAATTTTTCATGAGATTTAAAGGCACGTTTAAAAGGAAGCCTGCATTTGGATGCGGTGCTATGATCCCAGCTCTGGAGCAAACTACCTCTGCTGTGTAATTGTTCCTGAGAACACTATGCAGCACTTCAGGACAAGCAGTGAAAAATGTTATAAGCCAATTGAAAATGCAGGAGAAACTTAGATCATTATAAATGGCTGAGCTTGCAGCTAGCTGTGCCAGCGTGCACAGGGAGAGTCGCGCGACTGTCTCGCGTAGCCACAGAGGCAGGGCTCTCATCCTGTTCTTTCCACAGGCCGTGAGCCGTGTTTAACACTTGGGATTGAGGGACGCAGCAGAGCAACACGATGGACTCACAAGTCCTAGGGAACTAGCTGCCTTGGGCAGTCCCATGGGCACCAGGCCAGAGCAGGGAGAGGAACAGCGGTGAAAGCAGAGGCATTGGTAGCCATTCAGCACTCACCCTTTTTGAAGATGCAAAGCAGGCAACCGAGAAGCAACCCCAAGCCTTTCATGTTTGCCAGCGCCCTGCAGGAAGAGCCGTTTTCCGATCACCAAACCGGCATGGTCCGCACCAAAGCCAAGCTGCTGGCCGTCCAGTCGCACATCGCTTCCCTGCGGAAGGGAAGGCACCAGTGGTTTCCTGCTCCCCGGAGGGAATGAGTGTGTCCAGCTGAGCCGGCAAAGGGTGCTGTTATTAATAGTTGTGTGGTCAGTCATGTGGGAAACGCATGGGGGGTGGGGATCAACATTTTCTTATTTTCCAGCCATGGGAGGGGCCAGAGGATCTGGACTGAAAATACCCTTTTGGGACGCTTCAAGTACGTGGTGGAGCCAAGGTGGCTAGTTCTTGAGTGCTCCAAACCCGCTGACCCATGGGGAGGTTACGGGAGTCGGACAAACACGGTCAGCGAGTGACAGCTCGTCCCTCTTGCTTGACCGAAGGAAGTCATCTCGTCTCTCCTGGCCTATGGCTGCAAGCTTGCAATCTGCTCTGCCTTCAGAAGCAGCCACGTGCATCCCCTGATCAGTCTTTGACCTAAATGCTCATTTCCTCAGCACTTTCTCAATAACAGGGGACAGGCAGGACAGCTGAAGGGTTACTGTGAGAATGAGAGTAAGGCACAACTGGGTTTATGGAGGGAACTGGGGTGATTTAGTCTGCAGAAGTGAAGACTGAGAGGGGATTTAATAGCAGCCTTCAACTACCTGAAAGGTGGCTGCAAAGAGGATGGAGCTGGGCTGTTCTCAGTGGGGGCAGATGACAGAAAAATGAGCAATGGGCTCAAGTTGCAGCAAAGGAAGTTTAGGTTGGATATTAGGAAAAATTCTCACTAGGAGGGTGGTAAAGCACTGCAACAGGTTACCTAGAGAGGTGGGGGAAGCTCCATCTTTGGAGGTGTTTAAGGCCTGGCTTGACATAGCCCTGGCTAGCATGATGTAGTTGGGGCTGGTCCTGCTTTGAGCAAGGGGTTGGACTAGATGTGACCTCCTGAGGTCCCTTCCAGCCCTCATTGTCTATGATCCTATGACTGATGAGCCTGTGATGGAGAAGAGAAGGAAAGCTGGGCAATGGGAAGAAAAGAAAGGTGAAAGGGTGCCAGACAAGTTGGTTTCAAAAGTAGCTGGAAAGTTTTACAGGAAATATTTGGAAGGACAGGTCAAGAGAGGACCAGAGAAAACTGGTTGTGCAGAAGAATTGAGAGGGTGTGGTTTATGCATGATGGAGGTGAGAGATGGAGCACCCGGTATTTACAGGGAAAGGAAATGAGAAGATCCAGAAGAAAGTGGACTCACACTCACACTCCCTCCCTTGCTGCAACTTGGCATTAGGAGTCGTGGTAATTCAGCAATAAAACAAACCAGTAGTGTTGCATGTAGTTCATATTACTACAGACATTCAGAAATAGGTTAGATTGTAAAATAGGTTAGATTCAGAAATGGGTCAGAAAGTGAACTTATTCCCAATATATGGTGCTGTGCATAATGAAGCCCCAATCCTCACTAAGGTCCCTAGACACCCCTGTAAACATAGCCAGTAATAATAGAGACTTTGACCTAGTAATCCTGGAGGCTCTTCTCTTAACTGTCCGGTTGCATCCATCAGTCAGATTTTTGATCTCAGGCCTGTTGAGGTGAAGGCCGAGGACACATCTGAAGGACTCTCTGTGTGCAACTCCCTTCTCCCAAAGGACAAATTAAGACAGTAGTGAAAACCAAACCGGTGAGGCCAACAGAGAACTACGATGGTGCCGGCAGTTGGTGAAGGAGTGTACTTGCAACAATTAATCCTTATTTCCCCTTGGAGCCTGCAATGCCCAAGGCCATTGCCATTCTGAATAGTCCCTAAAAGAGCTGCTTTTCATCATCTGTATCATTCCCCTTTTCAGGTGGCTTCCACTGAAATCAATAATTGATGCCGGCCTCTGAAGGATGAGATGCAGCCGGGTTCATTCTACTTGGCTATGAATCCCCAAGAAGGATTTTGTGTAGATTCATAGATCTGGTTAAAGGTTTTTGTGATTTAATTTTAAACAAACTCTGTGCTGAGGGCCTCTTGCTGTTCTACGTTATTTCCATAGCCGGGTCTTTGGCACTTGTATGTACTTACCCCAGACAGGGCTGTTACCTGTGAGTCTTGCCGATCCGACTTATGGTCTGAAAACCTTCACTGGAAATAACATTTTGTTCTGTCTGCTTTATGTCATCACAGATTGCTAAAAGATATACTCTAGTTCATCCGCACCTTGTTAGGTCTGAAGCAGGATTCTTTGGGTGATGTTTTTTTATGGCCCACATTATAAAGGAGTCCACACTAAAAATACATGCCGGTCCCTTCTTGACCTTATAATCTCTGTCCTGTCAGTAGAGAATGCAGAATAAAGAGAGCCGTGGGACTATCCCTGCTGATGTTGGAGGCATAACAGTAGCCTTGATAATCCTATGTCATCGCGGCATCATTAGCCATGTTCATCTGAAGTCAAGCAGAAGGCAGTGTAGATTTACACCTTGTAGACTAACTGAAGTGTGCATGTATAATACACAGCACCAGCTTTCATAAACTGAAGCTCCCTTCATCAGATGCATCTGATGGACAGAGCTTCAGCTCACAGAGGTTTGTGCTGTATCGCTTTGCCCTATTGCCTATATATCTACTTTGGTTCATTTATAAAGCGCAGATATCCCCTGCCTCCTAATTCTGTGTCATTGGCAGAAATAAAAACGTGCCTTGAAAATGTTAATTCAAGATGCGACCTGGGCAGGGAGCAGGTGTCTGCTGTACAGTGTATGAGGATGCAAATGTTGCTTGCTCGTGCGGTGATCATCCCGTATTGTTATGTTCTTTTCACATTTTGGTGACCGAGCCATGAATGATTATCCTTCTTGGCAGTTGTTACTCTTCATTTGAACTCAGCTGTTTTAGGCTGAACTCAATGCTTTGCTCAGAAGCCTTGCATACGTGCTGCTTCTCTCACCTTCCTGGTACCCTCTGGGTTTCGCTCTTTTACATTTTTTTCCCCGTGATTTGTTGCACTGCAGAAAGATATGACTGCATAATTAACCACCAGGGGGCTCCCGCTGCTAGCAGCAATAAATGCTGTTTAGGAACTATTGCTCCTTTAATTCCACAGCATAGCCTTTAACAAGGCCATCGCTCTGCTTAATGGCCTTTGATGCAGTTAAATACCTTTCTTTTCTCTTACATAAATAATCAGACTCGGGGTCTTTTGCTCCTTGTAGCCCTTACGCTCTCTGACTTGAATTTCTCTCTTTTGCCAATGCTTCTTAGAAGATTTGTTGCTCTACGTTTTAGTTTTCTTCCTTCCGACCCCTTTTTCCTTGTTGCAAATATGGGCCCCAGAATAAGCTTCATGGATTTGCATTTTTAAGAGGCAGGATCTTTGTGTTCAATCTGTTATGAGATACTGTGGAAGAGGGGTATGGACTAGATAATATCATGATTACTGTGTATTTCTAGATGAATGACCACCAGAGGGCAATCGCATTTCAGTAAACGGCTTGGCAATAACAGGCTTTTTTTTTTTTTTTTGGTGGTATCTTTTGTCTCATAGCAATCAACACAGTACTGTGCTCTTTTTTTCCCCCTCTGTTCCCCCTTTGAATGAACTGTTGTCTTGCTTTTGCTTATTCATTATCTCAGGGGCCCACCCTGCTTCATGAAAGATCCTGGCAATACAATATATCTTTTCCAAAAGCCAGTGACACAGCAACAGGGGGTCTGCAGCTTCCTAAAATGATGCAATTATTTAACACCCCCCCCAAAAAAAACCCCCAAATAGTTTTTATAGCATGTTGCCCCTGTTAGGTCTGACAATGTCATTAATAACAAATGAGGCAGAGTCCCTTTTTTCTTGGCATCAAAGAAACGTTTGCCAAGTTGCACTCTATGAAAATACACTGGACACCATTTGGCTACAAGGGTGTTAATCAGAGCCGGGTTTGACCTGTGGAACATGCCGAGAGAATCGGTGGGACCATTGGATGTTCGAGGGTCTTGTCCCTGTACACATCTGGAAACTTAGTACAGTATTAAGGAGTAATATTAGTGTTGGTGGTATCCAGCAAAAGAAAGGAGGGCATGTATATGTGTATGTGTACCAGGACTGGGCACAGGCATGGGTGAACCAGGCAGCTGCTTGGGGCCCGGATGGAAAGGGGGCCCCAAAATGGCAATATTATTATTGTTATTATTATTATCATCATCATCATTGGTGAAGGGGGGCCCAATACTAAAAGTTTGCCCGGGGCCCCCAGGAGTCTAGTACAGTGCTGACTTGCACACATGCAAAGAAAGTACATGTAAGATGAATTCACTGTGCACAGAGGACTGTCATCTATCTCCCATATAATGGCATTATCTCCCCCTGGTTCTGCACTTGTGGCTTTGCTGGCAGTGCATTTGCTTCCAGCACAAACATTTCCCAGATCAGCAGAGCCTTGTACCCTTACTTATTCCTTTCACTCCCCATTCCCCAAATCTTAATTCCATCCTTCACATAGTTTTCTCCGTTACTTATTTCAGCGACTTGTAAAAAGCCTGCCCTTCTGCCAGTCTGAATATGTAGGTGCAAAAGCCTTGCGTATTTGTACGTTTTGACACTTCCCATAAGAAATCAGGCCTCTGAAATTGCTGGGGAGTGAATCCAAGAGGCCAGTGGAATTTTCCCTGCTAGTGTTTTCTATCCGCCGAGCAAGCCTGAGGCTGTCCCATGCTGAGTTATTGAGAGTTTTGCTCTGGCTCTAAGCCTGCACTGCCAATCTCCCCTGTGTACTTATTTGATCCTTGCCCAGCTGGAGGGACATGAGACACCTAAAGTTCAAGCAAAAAACATCTCAGGGGGGTCTTAAGCCAGCCAGCTTTCCTGCACGTGGCATTGATCCTAGTTACCGTGACTTAACACCGTCTCAGGACGCGGTCAGGGCTACGTCAGCTCTGTGCTGATCCTATTTGGAAATTCACAGGTTCAGTTGCTCACACAAAGCTCGTGCTGCT